TTTAAAGAGAGTGACTTGTGTGTTGGTGAATTCATTCATTCATAGCTTTGGTTTAGGAAAGGGAGAAACATAAGCAAGAAAGTGGTGGTTTTGCGTTAATGTGTGCATAACTTGCTTAGGCAATACCATCCAAACTTCTACTGCTCCATTAATGGCGTCTAAGAAAATCACCCTTGAATTAATCATCACATTCACCACCAGTCTTGGCTTCCCCCACCCAAAATCAACTTCGTAATACGACATTCTACACAGACTGCTTATGGACAACGTTGAACAATCATTGTTGCGCACCATTTCATCACCTCTGGCAATCACCGCACGCAACAACCCGCCTTCGCCGTACACCTTCCTCGCCGCTCCGTCGTTCACAGCGGGTACATTAGAGACAGGGTTTTGGAGAGTGATTTCTTCAGCTCATCAATGGCTCCTCCTGAAATGGCGGAGGAGGAGTTATAGAAGAAGACGAATGGAATCCTGACGTTGAGAGCTAGTTGACCCATAAAAGAGAGTTTGTAATTCTTGAGACTTTCAGGAGTGGGAGAAGATGGCCTCACTATTTCTTTGCTCCCAACTTCAACTTTCATGGCTGCCATCCGATACAAGCTATAGAATTGAAGTTGCTTTTAACAATTAAGATTATATTGGTAGATTGAGGAAGCTATACCCGCACCTGAACCCTTCCCTATATATATAGCTTCCCGTGCGGTTGTGCGGTTAAATCTGAGCAGTTGATCAAATTTAGATCAACGGCTCAAATCAATGAAAATTGAAAAAAAAAAAAAAAACCGCGTGCCTGGAACAAAGAAATATAAGCTAAGGTGCACCTTAAGTGTTAGATCTTAATCACAAACTCACGCACTTTAAGTACAAAACCCACACACATTAAGCACAACCTCACGCACATTAAACACAAAACCCACGCACTTTAAATATTAACTCACAGACTTTAAGTTTCAACAACTATTGACATTAAGTACAAAATTCACGCACATTATGTACAAAACCCACGCACATTAAGCACAAACATCACGCACATTAAGCACAAAACTTACGCACTTTAAGTATTCACTCACAGACTTTAAGTTTTAACAACTATTCACGATAAGCACATCCCCACGCACATTAAGCACAAACCTCACGCACATTAAGCACAAAACACACGCACATTAAGCACAAAACTCACACACATTAATCACAGATCTGCTCACCTTAATTTTGACCTAAATGCAAAAATTACAAAATTGCCACCGCGTTTTTTTTTAAACTTTGATAATCCTGGACGTTGATTAAAGCGAGATGAATAGCTCAGATTAAACCGCACAACCGCACTTGAAGCCCTCACCCGCACGAGAACCTAAATCTATATATATATATATATATATATATATATATATATATATATATATATATATATATATATATATATATATATATATATATATATATATATATATATATATATATAGTGAAAGGTTCCCGTACAGATGTGGGGTGGATTAATGTGCATGAGATTTGTACTCAATGTGCGTGAGTGTTGTGCTTAATGTGTCTGGGATTTGTACTTAATGTGCGTGAATGTGTAAAATGCAGCAGAAATTATTGATGTCAGCTTCTTCCCCATCCCCAGTAGCCATTGCCCCCTCCCTGATGAAGATGATGCGGAGGCGGGCTATGGTGGTTAATAATTATGGGAATAATACAACAGAAATCCACACTTAGTTGCTGTGCAAATTTTACTGTGCGTGCGTCATCTATATAAGCATTCAACTGCACTGAAGGTAGCTAATAATCCAGAATCCATGGCCAAATTGAAGGAAGAAGTAACAAGAAGCTTGGGCGTTAATGTGCGTGAGTTTCTGTTCTGCTTCCTTCTGAGCTCGTAATTCTGAAATACTCACGCACATTAAGCACAAATCTCACGCACATTAAACACAATACTCAGGCACATTAAGTACAAAACTCATGCATATTAACATGACACACATTAAGTACAAATCTCAGGCATATTGAGTACAAATCTCACGCACATTAAGTATAAATCTCACGCACATTAATCCTCCGCACAATTGCACGGGAAGTCACAAATGCACCTGATCCCTTCCCTATATATATATATATATATATATATATATATATATATATATATATATAGGGAAATAGGAGGATTTAGATGTTTGTTGTGCTTGAAGGACTTAGAATTGATATGTAACGATAGAGAACATACGGCACCGAAATCTCGTTCCAATTTTGACTTGCTGCTCGAGCTATGATTTTGCATGTAATGAATTCAAAGCTCTAGTTTATGAGTCTATGGAAAATGGGGATTTTGATACGTGGTTGTATACACATTCAGCTAATGCAAGGACAAATATAATGTTCTAAGTGTTCTTCTTAGGTTAAACATTGCAATCGATGTAGCATCTACGTTGCATTATCTCCATGATGATTGTGAACCAGCGGTTGTTCATTGTGATTTAAAACCAAGTAACATTCTGCTTGACAAAGACTTAATTGCTCATGTTTGAGACTTTGGAATATAAAGACTTTATTCACGTACAATTGAAAATTTATTGACGGACAAACAAGTACAACTGTTGGATTAAAGGAGTCAATTGGTTATGTTCCACCGGGTAAGAATACTATTAGTAAAAGTTTTACCACAAGTTTTAAATTCATAGCTAGGCTAAGAGAAAATAAAATCATATTTTTATATCGTATCTTATGTTTATGAAATTCTTTCCCCAACTATGAAAAAAATGCTCTATTAATTATCATGTTTGATTTATTCTTCTTCATAAATTATTTGGTCCTAGAATATGGGATAGGAGCAAAGGCATCAACATTTGGAGACATTTATAGCTTTGGAATCCTTTTGTTGGAAATGTTCACAACAAAGAGGCTCACATGTAATTTATTCAATGACGAAAGTAGAAGTCTTTGTGAGTATGTGGAGATGGCGTTGTCCGAAGAGGTTATGAAGATACTAGACCCATTGCTAACAACATGCCATGGAAGCATTCATGGAATAACACTGGATTTAGAGTTGGAGAATCATGAGAATTTGGTGGAAATTGAAGAGAGCAAGGTGCATAGCTTCTTTCTCTCCATCTTCAAAACTGGGCACACTTGTGCTTCTAGATCTCCAATGGATCGCATACATATGAATGATGTGTCCAGGGAATTGCAGAAGATTAAAAAGGCCTTCTTCCCATAAAAATAAGCAAAACATGTCTTGTGACACACAATTTCTCCATGGGTGAACTGGCTAGCAATTAAGAAAAGCTTGTTTATTTCAATTTGCGTAATATGTGGTGCTCTAAATTTCTTTTGATGTAAACTTTTTCTTGGATTCTTCTTTTGTCGTATCATGGGGAACAAGCTGCAGATGTTTTTTTTCTATGTTCTTACATTAAGTGTTGTGTTTGGTTTAAATTTTGTATATCAATTCGTGTACAATAATGTCTTGTTAAATTTACTTAATTGTCAATCCATGTATACTGATCGTTTTGAAAAAAAGTTTTTTTTTTTTTTTTTTTTTTTTTTTTGAAAATAAACCAGTTTATCTATTAATTAAAAAAAAAAAAGTGACAAATACAAGAAGGCCATAGTATCAATGTTGGGAAAAATCTCACTTTGTGTGACAATGAAAAATCACAAACTCGACACGATGTACAAATACAAGACAATCACAATAGTCCAAAATAAATGTCAACACAAGATTACGTGGAAAACTCCAAAATCACGGGCCCACCACCAACAATTCCACTATAACCTAACAAATCTTGGATACAAAGTTTCTGGCTACCACACGACTACACGAGCCAAACATCCAAACATCATCAAAATACAACAACTCTAGGCCAAAGACATTCTTTAACATTCACAGGCTAACACATGAATAATATCTCGTACTCAAAATATTAAATTACCACGAACAAGATAAAATGAATATAAATATTACGAGATTATCCAAAAGATGCCTAAAACGAATAAGCTGACCTCTAAAAATATTTGATGAATAAAGCACCCAAAAACCTCGACAAACCTCAAGACAAATTCATCAAACGTGTGACAAAACCCGCCGAACACGCTGTCTATTGTGCCGCTAAAAATAGTATAGAATGTCCTCACAGGACTGACCAAGGAGGCAAAAGGAATCAAAAGAAACTTGACTTTATTTCACTGCTCTCTATTGTCTACTACTGCCGAATCAATGTCCAAGTGAAAGAGAAGAATAGCTTGCATCTTATATAGCTTCACTGCTTGAACATGAGAATTTATGAAGACAAATAAGGAGAATTAATTCTTCACCCCTTCACATGCCAAAAACATTTGCTGCTCCAACTTCTTATATTTCTTAATATTATTATATAATACTAGTAATTCACCCGCGCGATGCACGAGAAAAAATTATGTTATTATAAATATAAATAAAAAATAGAAAAACTAAAATATTTTAAATTATTTAATATAATAATATTTTTGAGCTTCCATTGGTCAAGTATTTATTATTTTTATAGAATACAAAATTACAATTAAAATTATAATTTTGTATGGTTAATATAATCTCTAATTATGTACATACATATTCAAATAAACTTATAGAGATAATTTATATAATTACATTGATTTATTCTTAATTGTATTTCATCTATATTATAATTTTCACAATACGAATAATAACTAAGATAATTACATTTGGAAAGCAAATTTCAAATTTTGTATGTGTAAATTTAAACTCTAATTGAACACATTTTTATATGATTATATAATATATAGCTATTTTATTTTTCAAAAGTATATTTTTATATGATTATATAATATATAGCAATTTTATTTTTTAAATGTTGTGCTTTTTTTTTTTTTAATAATAAAAGATGTTGTGGCATTAATTGTAACATTAATTATTTCCCAAACCATATAGCTTTATTATATAAAGGATAAAGGATAACACGTACTAAGTAACAAATAATGAACAAGACAAGTACAAACTAGTACTACTTCCACCGAAACTCAATCCCATGACCTCTCATTTGGGATAACCAGTTATTATTTGTTTTATTCAATCCCATGCATTCATAGCTTTGGTTTAGGAAAGGGAGAAACATAAGCAAGAAAGTGGTGGTTTTGCGTTAATGTGTGCATAACTTGGTTAGGCAATACCATCCAAACTTCTACTGCTCCATTAATGGCGTCTAAGAAAATCACCCTTGAATTAATAATCATATTGACCACCAGTCTTGGCTTCCCCCACCCAAAATCAACTTCGTAATACGGCATTCTACACAGACTGCTTGTGGACAACGTTGAACAATCATTGTTGCGCACAATTTCATCACCTGTGGCAATCACCGCACGCAACAACCCGCCTTCGCCGTACACCTTCCTTGCCGCTCCGTCGTTCACAGCTCGGAAAGCATCGCGTATCCTCTGCACCAATTCAACGGCGGTTACGACGGTGCCGCCATCTTTCGCCTCCTCGCAGTGAACGGTGGCTCCGTAGGACAAGCTCCCTAGACAGTTTGGCGGCAGCGGCGGCTCCATCTTGCTCCGCAAGTTCACCATGCACTATGCAGGATAACGTGACAGTTTGAGTTGGAGTTGCGTTTATCACAGCCGCCCATACTAATGCCGTTAACGCCTCCACGCGAGACGGCCGTTGAACTGAGCCGGTAGTCGTTAAATCTTGTCTGAGTTGAGCTATGGCGTTGGCAGGAATGACGAACCTTTTAACAATCATGTTTTTCTCTTCCTGCTTGATTGCCTTTGCCCCCATCTTCATTAACCGTTCAATTGCAGAAGTATCCGTCAAGGGAGGGAATAAGATGCTGGAGTGATCGTAAACGAATCCACTTCCATTCACAGCACAGCCGCGGTTGATGGATCCCCAAGTTTCAAAGAAGGTGGCAAAGGCGGAAGCATCGGCTATGGCGTGTGAAACGGAAAATCCCAAACCCATTCCCCCGCAGCTAAACCGGTTCACCTGAATCGCGACCAGTGCCTTTCCTACCGGTTGTGGCTCGTAAACCTTTGCACTAGGAATCAGCTGCTTAATCTTCTCCATTTCAGGATTTTCCAGCAAAGAAGACATGTTTTCAGCAATATCGGCCACAATAAACTCGACGCCTTCGTCGTTACATTCGATTGTTACCTTGTCCTCCTTCACCCTCCCCGCCAGCGGGTACATTAGAGACAGGGTTTTGGAGAGTGATTTCTTCAGCTCATCAATTGTGTTGGTATGATGACAAGCTCCTCCTGAGTCGTAGAAGAAGACGAATGGACTCCTGACGTTGAGATCTAGTTGATCTATAAAAGAGAGTTTGTAATTGTTGAGACTTTGAGGAGTGGGAGAAGATGGCCTCACTATTTCTTTGCTCCCAACTTCAACTTTCAAAAGTTATCTGCAGCTACAAGCTAGATGTTGCTCTTAACAATTGAGATAACTTATATTGGTAGAAGAAGCCCCACTTCTATGGTTCTTATAACTGATGGCTTAATCTGCTCCAGTCAGAGACAACCTATGTTTCATTATATATTAGCATTCATGCAGGCCCAGGGGCCCACGCTTGGAAGGGCCCCCACATATCACCTTACCTTTCATACTATATATGTTACGTATAATTATATAGTATACATATTTGAACAGATACTACAATGTAATAGAGCCAGAAACTTTCAAAAAATATAGTATACATATTTGTTATAGAACGAACAGTTGGTTGAGTTACCTTTCATACTATATATATGTTACGTATAATTATATAGTATACATATTTGTTATAGAAAGAACAGTTGGTTGAGTTACCTTTCATACTATATATGTTACGTATAATTATATAGTATTTATATAGTATACATATTTTTTATAGAACGAACAGTTGGTTGAGTTGGTATGATTCCATCGTTATACCCTACACCACGGCGCACGTAGCACTGTGCGCTGCGCGCCTCCCAAAATGACGTCGTTTTGGGGTCGTTTTGGGAGGCGCGGTAGGAAGTTGCTGTGATTATGTATATTTGGTCATACAGTTATGTACATTTTTTATACAATTATGTACATTCTTTTTATATAATTATGTATATCTGAATCAGAAAATTTGTGTGTATTATGTTAAGAGTTGATGTGTATTATGTTAAAAGTTTATGTTTATTATGTATTATGTTAGATTATGTGTATTATCTTTTAAAAAGAGTATGTATATTTTATTATATAATTATGTACATTCATGTATACAATTATGTGTATTCTAGTATAACATTATGTACATTTTTGAACAGGTGTTTTTTTTTTTAAGAAAAATTAACTACCATACAATGGAACGGAAAATTTTTTTTAAAAAAAAAAATTTAAATTAAAACGACGTTGTTTTGCATTTGGGCGCACAGTGCAACGCGCACCGTGGTGTAGGATATAAATTGCCGTATCATTCATGGCGTGCGAGCTTAGGTTCAAGGGATCGATTCACTTCACTGTCTAGTTTAGTTTCTTATATTAAACTTTCGCTCCGTACTCTGTTTACATTTCTAGTTTCTATTTTTTAATTTAATTATATTAAACTTTCGCTCCATACTGTATTTACATTTCTATTTTTATTTGGAATAAGGTTCAAATTGACCACTGAATGTAACCTGAAAATGCAATTAGGTCACTGAACGAAAAAAAAAAAAAAGTGCAATTACGCCACTAAACACACCAAAAACGTGCAATTAGGCCACTGAACACTCCAAATGTATGCAATTTTACCGGATAGCAGGTTATCATCAATTTTAGCAGGTTACTTGCTTACGTGGCAGCTGAGTTGGCATTTTTAATAATTTTTAAATAAATTTTAATAAATTTTAATGTAAATTTAATAATAAATTTTAAATTTTACTTGCTTACCATCATTTTTTTTAAAAATTTTTTTAAAAAATTATCATTAAAATTTATTAAAAATTATTTAAAAATGCCAACTCAGCTGCCACGTAAACAGGTAACCTGCTAAAATTGATGGTAACCTGCTATCAGGTGAAATTGCATACATTTTCAGTGTCCTAATTGTACTTTTTTTCGTTCAATGACCTAATTGCATTTTCAGGTTACGTTCAGTGGCTAATTTGAACCTTATTCTTTTTTATTTTAATTTAATTAGTAACATTGTGATTTTTTAAACCTTTCTAAAATTATAGTGAGATTTATATATATTGTGATTTAGTTATAAAAAAATATTTTAAAACAGAGTTTAGTTTTTAAATAAATTATCTACTCAATGTAGTTTAGAAGTCCTATTGTGCATCATTGTATTCAAATTAATCTAAAAAAAAAAAACTTGAAATTGATCTAACTATATATATATATATATATATATATATATATATATATATATATATATATATAAATGATTGATATCAATATAGAAGATGTGTAATTTATTATGTGTTTTTATTCAAACTATTTTGTCTAATTAATTATGGTTGATATTTTATTATGAATATCTTTTAACAACCTAGATGTTGCTCTTAACAATTGAGATAACTTATATTGGTGGAAGAAGCCCCACTTCTATGGCTTTTATAACTGATTGCTTAATCTGCTCCAGTCAGAGACAACCTATGTTTCATTATATTTTAGCATTCATGCATAACCTAGATGTGGGATCATTTTGATTCCACATTGAAAATGTTTGGAAAGATGAACTGTTAAATTCCTCTATATAAGAGGAGCATTTACGAACATACTATTGTTTTCTCATCAATGTGGGCAAGTATTGAGAAGTCCAAAGTTTTTTTTTTTTTTTTTTTTTTTTTTTTTTTTTTTTTTTTTAATTTAGTACTATTGACCTGACAAATTATGCTGTGGATCTGTGTCCACATTGCAATATAGACACGGTTCAAAAATTGTTCATAATTATTAATATATAGTTCAAAAATTATGAACACATAGTTCTATAATTATGAACATAGTGTTGTGAACATAATTATGAACATATAGTTATGTAATTATGAATATAGAGATTCAATAATTGTGAATATGAAGTTAAAAAAATTATGCATATATATCTTTATAATTATGAACATATAGTTCAATAACTATAAACATAGAGTTCTGTAATTATGAATATAGAGTCCAATACTTATGAATATGAAGTTCAAACATTATGAATATATAGCTTTATAATAATGAACATATAGTTTAGTAATTATAAACATAGAACGGTGTCCACCTTGCGTGGACACGGTTCCACAGCATAACTATTCGATTGACCCTGTTACATGTAAACTTTCTCAACCTAATGAAACCCAACCTGTCAAAAGGCTCTTATTTAGTTTTTTTTTTTTTTTTTTTTTTTTTTTTTTTTTTTTTTTTTTTATTTATTAGGGGGTTTGAGAAAGATTAACCCAAAATGTATGAGTTGTTTTAGTTTTTAGCAGTTTGGAGCAAATTGTTAAGTTATTAAATAATATTTTTGGTGTTTCGATTAAATATAAAATGTTAAACAGACGAATTTCTTAAAATTTTGGCGAATTTGCCAAATAATCAAATTACAATAACAACAACAACAACAACAACAACAACAACAACAACAACAACAACAACAACAACAACAACAACAACAATAATAATAATAATAATAATAATAATAATAATAATAATAATAATAATAATAATAATAATAATAATAATAATCCAAAAAAAAACTATATACAAAATAAAATTAAAATTAACCAAAAAAGAAAAAAAAAAAAAAAGACAAAGGTGAGCCATGCAAATGATGTGGGATCATTTTGATCCCACATTTAAAATGTTTGAAAAGAGAGAGCTCCTCAAACATAATTGCAATGATCCTCTTATAAACATAATTGCTTGCCCATCAATGTGGGTAACTATTGAGAAGTCAAAAGATTCTTAATTATTTAAGAAGCTTTAACTTTGTCTTCTTATTTTAGTATTTATTTATTTATTTATTATTCGTGGGGGTTGTGGAAGATTAGGATGTTAACTATAGACGAGGATGGACAAGATTGTGTTGCTACTACCAATGTTGTATACAATGAGGTTTCAATAATGTGTAAATACAATCGGTGATATTATGTTTTTCTAAATGACAAAATTGCTATATATCTAGACAAAAAAAATATATTTTCCATACAAATGAACTAGGATAGCAATTCATTCCTATAACTGAGTTGCTAAAGAATGAGCACGTTTGTCTAATTTATAAAAATACTAAACAATGATAAATAAAGTCTTCAAAGTTACAGCACCACCTGCGTACATCTACACATTAGCTATTAATTTGTGCAATTAGTCAAATTCAAGCAATGATAACATCAAAACATATAAACAATCCAAACCATATTTTCAATTGTACTATATAATATTTGATATTCTAATTTAAATAATTATATATTAATCCAAATATTCTTAATATATTACAACAAATCCATTCCGTGCATCGCACGGGCGCAAATACTAGTTGTAATAAAAAAAAAATAAAAAAAAAATAAAAAAAAACTCCAAGTATCCCTCCTTTATTTAAGGAGATATATATGTCCTTGAATTTATTATCATAACCAATCACTTCCATCCAAACCTACTTACACTAACCACACATCATTGTTAAATTAAGGCGTACGAATCCAGCACAAATAACGTTAATCTATTAAACTATATAATAGCCTAGTAGTAGAGATTATTAATATTTACTTTATATGGAGTATGTCATCACGGCAGCATTGTTTATTTATTTGCCGATAAATGTGTTTGGCATGTCAAATTTTTTTTTTCTTCTCCCAAGGGAAGTGGATCAGATATCCATATATACAAGCTACTACTACATCATAATCGGTGGACTTAACACCTCTCACATAAGGGAGCAACTTGGTACTAATGGACCACAAGATCCTTGGTTTAAGATGTCAATTTTAATTCAAAACAGATGAATTGGTCGGATAAGATCGAAAAATTTTAAAGTTAGGGGCAAAATATTTTAGCCCGATAAAAAAATCAACTCGACTAGTAAATCTGATGGTCCTAACGACCTAGGTCACAATTTAGTTAGCTAGCCCGATAGTTCAAGTCACTCAAAACTATTATTTGTTACATGAGTGATGTAAAACAAAATATACATAGACTTTATATGAAGTTCATCTTTAGTACTCCGTATTTTTTAATAAGTTTTTTAATAAAATTTTAAAAATATGTTAATAAATTTATTAGAAAATAAAATATTTTATGAAAAATAAAACTTATTATAAATATTATATTATAGTGTAAGCATATATTAATTATTTTTATTTAGAATTTGAAAATGGAGTTTTAGATTGATTGAATGATTTATAAGTTTATGTTTATTAGTGTAGGTGTGCTAGTTTATTAAAATTGAAAGCTTAGAATGTTAATTTGAAAATGTTAAAATTTCTAGTTGAGCACGTTCGATAAGCTCGGTAGCCCGATGTTTTATGGTTAGGGCCAAAAATTTTGAACTTGATAAAGAAAACGATTAATTAGCTGGAATCGATATGCCCAACAACCCGATAAGGCTAGTGATGTAGCGAAAATAGTGATAGTGAGTGTGTAAGTGTAGTCGTCCTCAGGGGATGGGGAGTTATGACATGTAATATGCAATTACAAGCAACTAGGCACTAGCACGGAGAAATTAACAAGAAGCTAAGCAAACAACGAGTTGAAAATGGTAAGACTAACATATATACATAAAGATAAAACACAAACTATTTATACTGTAATTTTAATCTAAATAACAAGTAGCTAGAATTGTATTATGGTTACGAAAATATTTATACTGTAAGTTTAATCTAAATTATTGTAATTTCAATATTACTATTGGTAGAAATATTGATGCATGTTTCATGTACAATTGTATTAAGATTAGGAAAATATCTATAGTGTAATTTTAATTAATATTATTTGGAGATTCTGTAAAATAATAAGTAAAATTGTATTACGGATATGAAAGATGTACAATTTTATTACGGTTAGAAAAGTATTTATAGTGTAATTTCAGTCAATATTATTATTTGGAGATTTTGTAAAATAATAAGTAGAATTGTATTACGAGCATTGAGTATTTTTTTTACCAATTCTTTTCCATTATTCCTAATTATTATTATTAAGTGTTTGGACATTGCAAAAGTATGATTTTATTTTTATTAGTAGTATAGTATAGTATAGATTATGTTGTAGGGAAGTATATGTATTGCATTAATACGATAAGTAATTTTATTCCAAAGTATATGTTTGGAATAACGATAAGTAATTTTAATCTAGAATTGTATTACGAATAGAAAAGTAGGAAAGAATATATTGTATTAGGAATTATATTACCATATTTTAATGTACAGTTGTAGTACGAATAGGAATTGTATTACCATATTTTACAATATTACGTACACAAACCTTAACAGGGCGTTTGGTTGGAGGGATTTTAAATTCCCTTCCCACTTAATTCCCACCTAATTTCAAAGGCCATTAAATTCCGTAGTTTGGTTGGAGGGAATTGTAATTCCATGGAATTGCAATTCCCCCATTTTCATGGAATTAAAATCCCATGTCCACCCCCCCCCCCCCCCCCCCCCCCCCCGGGATTTTAATTCCTGGGAAAAAAAGATAGTGATCAGTCAAAATTACCCCTTCCTTTTTTAACCTAAAATTAATGTCTAACAACAATAATAGACATTTTTGACTTTATACTACTTATTCCCTTTCAATTCTCATGTATACCAAACATTGGAATTGAAATTCCCAGTAATTTGATTCCTGTCAACCAAACACTGGAATTTAAATTCCCACTTTATTCCCAGTAATTCAACTCCCATGGAATTACAATTCTTTTCCCACATAATTCCCCCCCTCCAACCAAACGCCCTGTAATAGTATATGAGTGTTTTGGACCGGAAGTTAAAATGAAAGATTTTATTTTTATATATAGTATAGATTTAGTATAACAAAAACAAATCAGAACACATCCAGTAGAGAACGAGATTTTAAGAAGAATTTACCAATTAGCTGATTGCAATCCACTCCCCCAGGAGCCTTCCACGATCCAAAATCATTGAGTTTGAACATGTGTTTGGAAAACTCGGATTCATCCTTGAGTTTGAACGTGTAATTATTAGGTATTAGGTAATTATACTAATATAACCACGTAAATTATGTATTGTCAATGATTATTTGTTTAAATAAATGAGACTATGTTTTGAAAAAAAAAAAAAAAAAAAAAACTAAATGAGACTATTTATTACCCATACACAAGATAACAGTAAAATTAACCTATCAAATAACATCAACAATAGGAAGAAGTGGATGAGTGAGTGAGAACACTATGAGTAGAAATTATGACTATATGTAAGTGATAAAGTTAGATTTCCCATATAATACACATTATATTAAAATAATTTTGTAAATAAAAAATATAAATAATTAAAACTGCATTGTGCTATTTATTTCGTCTTGCTGGGAAGTATATGCACTGTATTATTACGATTAGTAATTTTAATCTAAAATTGTGTTAGGAATAGGAAAGTAAGAAAGAATATATTGACCATGTTTGGTAAATGAAGAATTCACTAATTTTTTGACAAATTTGTCATTGTTTAACGTTTTGACCATGTCAAAACTGTAGGAGCTTTTTTGGCTATAAAAAGGCTTTTTCTCATTTCATTATTTGGTCCAATCTTATGCATTTTGGAGATAAGCTCGAATAAGTTGTGTGCAAAAATCAGTAGGGGTGAGTTGTTATTTTTAGAGGGGTGAACGTAATGAGGGGAAGTTGTTTCCCCAGTGTTGATTGGCTCAAGACAGAATTAAGCTCTTGATAATTCACTAAAATTGATGCGTGCATGATACTGCCAAATTGTTTTATCTAAGGGAAAAATGTAAAAAATGCCCCTTTATCAAAACAATGCACATATAGCCCCTCCTGTAACGGACATGTGGTTCCCTGTTAATGTACGACACCGTTAAGTCGGAGTAAATATGTAATTTAGTTGTTTTTTCCCTCCCTCGATTCGAAGTACCAACGATAGACAGTGGTGGGGAGCCACAGGTCCATTACGAGAGGGGCTATATGTGCACCATTTTGATAATTGAGGGGCAACATTTACACCACTCATAATTCAAGGGTGACATTGATAATTGACATATTATAAATGGACATTTTTTACAATTTTCCCTTTATCTAATCTCATGTCTTTTAAGATGTTTGTAAAGTACTACCAGTCCTTTCTCATAAAGTGCGTTTCCAATGGAAGATTAAAATACCACTCTTACGAATTGGACAATAATTTTTCTTATTCGTTGTAGTTGTATTATTCTTTACAAGTCTTTTTCTTACACTTGCAGATAAAGGCTTGTCTGATAAAGAAAAACGTGAGAATATAAATTTTATTTGATTGAAAAGTCAAGATCCCAATTGCTCTTCCCCAATCTTCTGTTTCTTGGTGATGGAGTGCTGGATTTTGGACTATATTTATAGGTGATTTAGGTGTGTTTGAGTACGAATAAAAATATGAATCTTAATATTGTTGTATTGTATTACGAATAGAAATTTTAATGTAGAATTGTAATACGAAAAAGTATGAAACAATATATTCTATTAGGAATTGTATTACATTATTTTATAATATTAGAATTTAAATTTTAATGTGGAATTGTAGTACGAATAAGAAAGTTGCTAGGAAAATAATATATTTTATTAGAAAGTGAGATTTTTTAGAAATTGAGCAGGAAGTTAAAGTGCAGAATTTTGTTTTTATAGATAGTATAGATGGGTGATTAATTGCAAGGTTCAGTGCTCCATATAATTTTTACAGCTTAATACTTAATTACATCGTAGCCACTATTATTACATATAATGTATAATATATTTGTCATCGGTTCTATTTTAAAGGTTGTAATGGTCCAAAATCATGTTGACTTTGCATTATATACCCAAGTTTAAAATAATTTCGTCTTGTTTAAATTAGCGTGGCCTCTCTCTCTCTCTCTCTCTGGAGCAGATGTACAATTTAATATAATGAACACATGAGTTGTCTCTGCCTCTCTGGAGCAGATTAATTAAGCCATCAATTATATATAAAAGCCATAGTGGTGGAGCTTCCTCTACCAATATAATCTTATCTTAATTGTTAAGAGCAACTTCTAGCTTGTATCGGATAGCCAGGCCATGAAAGTTGAAGTTCGGAGCAAAGAAATAGTAAGGCCATCTTCTCCGACTCCTGAAAGTCAATTACAAATTTACAATCTCTCTTTTAATTTGTGGCCTTCTTGTATTTGTCACTTTTTAAATTAATAGATAAGCTGGTTTATTTTCAAAAAATAAAAATAAATACTTTACATTCTGCAAGAAAATTCTTTGAAGCTCCATTTTTTCAGAAGGTCAAGTACCTTATTGCAATTGTTTGTTCTCCACCTTGCTCAATTGTAAACATGTCTTGTTTGCTGGAAAGTCCTGAAATGGAGAAGATTAAGCAGCTGATTCCTAGTGGAAAGGTTTACGAGCCGCAACCGGTAGGAAAGGCACTGGTGGCGATTCAGGTGAACCGGTTTAGCTGCGGGGGAATGGGTTTTGGGTTTTTCGTTTCGCACGCCATAGCCGATGCTTCCAACGTTGCCACCTTCTTTGAAACTTGGGGATCCATCAACCGCGGCGGCGCTGTGAATGGAAGTGGATTCGTTTCCGATCAGTCCAGCATCTTATTCCCACCTTTGACGGATACTTCTGCCCTTGAACGAGCCGTGAGGATGGCGGCGGCGGCGGTGGAGCGGAAGACAAATACTTGACTGTTAAAAGGTTCGTCATTCCCGCGAACGCCATAGCTCAACTCAGAGAAGATTTAACGATTACCGGGTCAGTTCAACGCCCGTCTCGCACGGAGGCGTTGACGGCGTTAGTATGGGCTGCTGTGATAAACGCAACTCCTCACCAAACTGTCGCGTTATCCTGCATGGTGAACTTGCGGAGCAGGATGGAGCCGCCGATGCCGCCCAACTGTCTAGGGAGCTTGGCCTGCGGAGCCGACGTTCACTGCGAGGAGGCAAAAGATGCCGCACCACCACAAAGCAACGATGCAACAGTGCCAAAAGGCCGCAACGCTTCATGTCCACGTCTCGTCTAATGCTATTGGCTGGCTCCAGGTTAGGCCATTTTGTAAGATATCCGGCAGTGTAACGATGCTGCAAGGCTACTCACAAGGACAGATATATACAACAACAACTGTCCAATTATCAGCACAAAGGCCTAAAAAAGATAAATGGCACGCTGGGCAAAACATATGGGCACGCAGGCCTAAAATATCTCCGCTAACGATATTAAGAAAAGATAAATCAGGCAAGAGGCTCGCAGGCCAAAAATATACAGGCACGCAGGCCACCACAAAAAGCACATCCCAGCCAATTAGCAACAATCCTCTCGAACGGCACCAGCAACGAACAGTAACTAGAACCCTAACGGGATTAGCTACTATGGGCCAGCAACAAGCCTGGAGTACTACCACCAACGGATTTGATAAACCCCTATCCGGCCACCGTTCAGTCCGGGCCAGGATGCAATTTCTTACCGCTTGCACCAACGTTGAGGCATGGTCTATTTTAAGAAACCCACAATGGCGAAACCAAATAAGTCTAAGACCAGCAATACCTCAGAAGCCAAAGAAGACCTGCAAAATGAAAACGTGACAGGACAAGCACGTCACATTTCCTAATCCAATACAGCACAAAATCATGATCTGAAAGGTAGTGTATAAGGGAATAACAGGCAGACGTGAACAAAGGCAATCCCCATCATATATCCCGCCCCACCCGGAGCCCAGAAGGGACTCAGCTACTATTGGCCGGCCAGCAGCAAGTCTGACTAGGTCAACAGATTTGATATATCCTGTCCGGCCACCGTTTAGCCCGGACTAGGGTGCCTCTTGTACCGTTGACACCTGCGTTGTTGAGGCTAGACCCGACATAAAGCCAAGCCATCATTGCCTCCAAGTAGAGTACATTTCCTTCATTTCCCTTTTTTCCTTTTTTCCTTTTCTCTTCTTTTTTCTCTTTTTCCTCTTTTTTTTTTTTTTTTTTTTTTTTCCAATTCTTTCCTCATCTCTTTTCCTTTTTTACCTCATATATAGACTGATACGTGCTTTTTTTTTTAATGACCATACTGAGTGCTACTAACTCCTTCATCCCTATATAAGAAGGGGAAAGAGCAGTAGGTTTTTTTACAATGATGTGAACGAGTGAAGAAAGTGAACTAGAGAGACACAACACACAACTCACTTTTTCTTCCAAAAACTATGTTCCTACTCCTTCTTGAAGCTATGTTCTGCCCGTGCTCTTGTTCGCCGGGTTCGTTCGTTTAGGTGCTCAAACGTCGAACCGTAGTACGTTTTATCCTGAAAAACTTAGGCGACAACGCTCCTAGCACTTGTGGGAGGTGACAAATAAGGTTTTAAGGAAAAAGTGTTATGCTTGACTCGTACTTACCCTCTTTCTTCATCTTCTTCTTTCATGATTTGAGATTATGCTCTAAGCATCGAATCCTTTCTCCTTGGTTGGAATTGTAATCTGGATGATTTTTTATTTTTTATTTTTTATAAACAAAACTTTATTAAGCAAAGGAATTAAAATGTCTTACAACTAATGGTCCAAAAGTGACCATAACACATACTCAACCCTTGAGATTGGACCTATACTAATATAAAGAAACTAAATAAAGGATGGACTCAAGCCCTAACAGGCCAGGCCTAAAGAATGAAAGAATAAAATAATGGACCCAAGCCCAACTAATGGCAAAAGTGGAGCAAAAGATCAAGGCATTCCAATTCTCGAACATGTCGATATCGTAGTATTTCAACCATATCTCAACCTAGGAATGTACAAATCAAGTGATTCTTACACCATTCGAAAGCCAACTCAAAGGGTTACAACTTCCATGAAGATTATCAAGTCTAATTCTGATGTCGTTAAAGTGGTCAGCATGATGTTTTGGAGGATTCTTGATCTCAATAAGAGTTGGATCGGATCAAGATTCAAAATCACTCCTTATATAATTCGTATGAAAAATAGCTAGAAGGATTTAGATGCTTGTTGTGCTTGAAGGACTTAAAATTAATATGCCACGATATGAGAGTTAGACAATTCATAATCCCAATTCTTGTTTAGATGATCATAGAGTGATTTTTATACTAGAATTTCTATGTGCATCCCCTCAATTTCTCAGCAACATCCCAGTGTGTATTGTAGAAGCTTCCATCAAATATTATTTGTTTTAAAGAGTACGGAGGAATTCATAGCTTTGGTTTAGGAAAGCCAGAAACATGTGCAAGAAAGTGGTGGTTTTGCGTTAATAATGTGTGCATAACTTGGTTATCCCCTACCTAATTAAGCAATTGTTATACCATAGACTATGATTCATATTATGTTGTGAACCTTGATACAAAAATTTTGTATCTGGTTAACAGTTTCTGTATATATATAAATAAATAATTTGATAATTATTGACACATAATATAATATCTATAGGTACAGAAACTATCAACTGCAGGTACAGAATGTATCAACTATAGATGTAGAATATGACTTGATAATTGTTGATACATAATGTGATAGTTACAGGTTCTGAAACTATCAACTGCATGTACAAAATGTGTTAAATATAAATAAGAATCTGAAAATTATTTTTTGACAACGATCTAAAATGCAAGGTAGACTCTGGTATAATTTACCCTAATTAAGGAACTACTCACACATTATCACAATGAAAACAAACATAAATTAAAGAGTCAAAGAGATGGCCCCAACCCATTTCCCCCCTATATACAATCACAAAATATAATACAACACATTACATTTTCATTTCTCATGGACAAAGATAGGTGAGACAGTTTCACAAGCCTTATTGAGCTATTGTTGAAGTAAGCTTCCATAAATATTATTTAATTTGTTTTAAAGAGAGTACCTTGTGTGTTGGTGAATTCATTCATTCATAGCTTTGGTTTAGGAAAGGGAGAAACATAAGCAAGAAAGTGGTGGTTTTGCGTTAATGTGTGCATAACTTGGTTAGGCAATACCATCCAAACTTCTACTGCTCCATTAATGGCGTCTAAGAAAATCACCCTTGAATTAATCATCATATTCACCACCAGTCTTGGCTTCCCCCACCCAAAATCAACTTCGTAATACGCCATTCTACACAGACTGTGGCTTTTATGATTGATGGCTTAATCTGCTCCAGATCAGAGACTACCCATGTGTTCATTAAATTGTATATCAGCAATCTCCATATTCTCCGAATTTGAATTTGGATTATTTTATAGCACGCATGCTTAACTGAGCTATGCAAAGATCAACATATTATAAATAGTGGGGCAATCCATCAAGTGATGCTTATCGTGAGCTTTGCAAAGATGAATATATTATAACGAATCGGTGGATGCGGTTGGCTTATGTGCTTTATCAATTCGGTTGACTAATGTACAATTCGGTTGCTGCGCATGCGTGAAGTGCAATGTACATAGTTTCAAGTTTGGTTCTCAGTGAGAGCAAATTATTAAATTTTTAGTTTGAGTTGGTCATGGGTAACCTATCTAACAAGCTCGGATTTAATTATTGCCTAGTGCACAATCTTACCCTGCACTAGAATTGATCACTCACTTGGTAACTACAAGGTTTCAAGTTTAATTCTCAATGAGAGTAATTTATTAGCCTTTTTAGTTTGAACTGATCAGTTATATATATAGGAAAATAGGAGGATTTAGATGTTTGTTGTGCTTGAAGGACTCAGAATTGATATGTAATGATAGGGAACATACCCCACCGAAATCTCGTTCCAATTTTGACCTGTTGCTCGAGCTGTGATTTTGCAGGTAATGAATTCAAAGCTCTAGTTTATGAGTTTGTGGAAAATGGGGATTTCGATACATGGTTGTATACACATTCAGCTAATGCAAGGACAAATGTTCTAAGTGTTCTTCTTAGGTTAAACATTGCAATCGATGTAGCTTCTACGTTGCATTATCTCCATGATGATTGTGAACTAGCAGTTGTTCATTGTGATCTAAAACCAAATAACATTCTGCTTGACAAAGAATTAACTGCTCATGTTTGAGACTTTGAAATATCAAGACTTTATTCACGTACAATTGAAAATTTATTGGAGAACAGACAAGTACAGCTCGTGGATTAAAGGGGTCAATTGGTTATGTTCCACCGGGTAAGAATACTATTAGTAAAAGTTTTACCACAAGTTTTAAATTCATAGCTAGGCTAAGAGAAAATAAAATCATATTTTTATATGGTATCTTATGTTTATGAAATTCTTTCCCCAACTATGAAAAAAATGCTCTATTAATTATCATGTTTGATTTATTCTTCTTCATAAATTATTTGGTCCTAGAATATGGGATAGGAGCAAAGGCATCAACATTTGGAGACGTTTATAGCTTTGGAATCCTTTTGTTGAAAATGTTCATAGCAAAGACGCCCACATATGATTTATTCAATGGCGAAAGTAGCAGCCTTTGTGAGTATGTGGAGATAGCGTTGTCCGAAGAGGTTATGAAGATACTAGACCCATTGCTAACAACATGCCTAGGAAGCAGTCATGGAATAACACTAGATTTAGAGTCAGAGAATCATGAGAATTTGGTGGAAATTGAAAAGAGCAATTAAGGTTCATAGCTTCTTTCTCTCCATCTTCAAAACTGCGCTCACTTGTGCTTTTAGATCTCCAATAAAATAAGCAAACATGTCTTGTGACACAATTTCTCCATGGGTGAACTAGCTAGCAATTAAGAAAAGCTTGTTTTTTTCAATTTGCGTAATATATGGTGCTCTAAATTTCTTTTGATGTAAACGTTTTCTTGGATTCTTCTTTTGTTGTATCATGGGGAACAAGCTGCAAACGTGTTCTATGTTCTTACATTAAGTGTTATGTTTGGTTTAAATTTTGTATATCAATTCGAGTACAATAATGTCTTGTTAAATTTACTTAACTGTCAATCCATGTATACTATCGTTTTGAAAAAAATATTTATTTTTATTTTTTGAAAATAAACCAGCTTATCTATTAATTTAAAAAGTGACAAATACAAGAAGGCCACAAATTAAAAGAGAGATTGTAAATTTGTAATTGACTTTCAGGAGTCGGAGATGATGGCCTTAAATTTCTTTGTAAATTTATAATTGATGGATTAATTAATCTGCTCCAGGGAGGCAGAGACAACTCATGTGTTCATTAAATTGTACATCTGCTCCAGAGAGAGAAAGGCCACACTAATTTAAACAAGTTGAAATTATTTTAAACTTGGGTCTATAATGCAAAGTCAACATAATTTTGGACCATGTTACAACCTTTAAAATAGAACTAATGACGACAAATATATTATATGTAATAATAGTGGCTACCTAGGGTGTTAATTATTAAGGTGTAAAAATTATGTGGAGCACTGGACCTTGCAATTAATCACCAATTCAAGATAAAAGAAACCGAACTTGTAAAAGAAATAGCTTAGGAAAGCAAAAATAATCACAAACCAAAGAGAATAAGACAACATATAACCAAAGATGAAAGACTAGCTAGGAACATGAATTCACTACTATTACTAATTATGCATTTTAAGTTCAATATTGCCAAATGGCGTCCATAGTAAATCAAGTATTCTAAACGTCCATATGCTTATAAATCATTTGTTAAAACCGTTAAAATCCATTAAGGCTAAAAGAACTACGGAATACCCAATTTAGGAATCAAATAAACAATCTAATGATCAGATAATCAAACCATTTATCTTTGTAGAGGATAGAATTACAAGGTGATCGTTGTAAAAAATAATTATAAGATTTACAGATAAAAATGTTGTTCCGCTGAGGATTGGGATTTAGGCACGTACTTGGGTAATAATCAATTCTCTAGGCACGAAGACAATGGATCCTTAAGAATCCAAGTAACACAATCATACATCTTGAAGATATCTGCTCTAAGAGCATCCACATCAGTAAATAATGTGGGGAGAATGCATCATTAGTTCACTCAATTCAAGTTTATAATTAATGTGGGGGAGAATAGATTTGGAAAGAATGCCTTTGCAAATGTCAAAAATTATGTCAGAAATCAAAAAATGGAGGAAATTCCCAAAGCAGCAGCCCACACGGGCGCTTCAAGCGCGCGATCTTCTTTTTTTTTTTTTTTGGTTTTTGTCTTTTAGTTTTGATTTTTTTTTTCCCTCCCCTTACCACATTCTCTTTCCTAATCACTCTTATATTATCCTCACATTCTTCCAACTGATGCAGATGCAAGTGTATTCCGACTAGGCCCACTGTCCGCAAAAAATTTCCTGTCCAAAGGCCAGGAAGATCGGTTTTCCTTGTCAGGGTCGGGTTGAATTGTCGCATCTGTATTATTAATCCATTAAGTTCACGTTAAGCATGCATACTATATACAATTTAATGATTGCATCTACCAATATATATAATCTCATCTTTAATTGTTAAGAGCAACTTCTATCCTGTATCGGATAGCCAGGCCATGAAAGTTTTGAAGTTGGGAGCGCAGCAAAGAAATAGTGAGGCCATCTTCTCCCACGATAAGCATTCATGCTATAAAATGATCCAATCTCCGATCCGGAGAATATGGGAATTGCAGATCAGATATATATACAATTTAATGAACATACACATGGGTAGTCTCTGGAGCAGATCAGATTAAGCCATCAATTATAAAAGCCACAGTGGTGGAGCTAAGGAGCTTCTTCTATATATCATCCAATATAGTCTTAATTGTACGTTAAGAGCAACTTCAGATCTAGCTAGCTTGTATCGATCAGATGGCAGCCATGAAAGTTGAAGTTCGGAGCAAAGAAATAGTGAGGCCATCTTCTCCCACTCCTCAAACTCTCAACAATTACAAACTCTCTTTTATGGATCAACTAGCTCTCAACGTCAGGATTCCATTCGTCTTCTTCTACAACTCCTCCTCCGCCATTTCAGGAGGAGCCATTGATGAGCTCAAGAAATCACTCTCCAAAACCCTGTCTCTAATGTACCCGCTGACGGGGAGGGTGAAGGAGGACAAGTTAACAGTGGAATGTAACGATGAAGGCGTCGAGTTTATTGTGGCCGATGTTGCTGAAAACATGTGTTGTTTGCTGGAAAATCCTGAAATGGAGAAGATTAAGCAGCTGATTCCTACTGCAAAGGTTTACGAGCCCCAACCGGTAGGAAAGGTTTTGCTGGCGATTCAGGTGAACCGGTTTAGCTGCGGGGGAATAGCTATGGGGTTTTTCGTTTCACACGCCATTGCCGATGGTTCCGCCCTTGCCAAATTCATGGAAACCTGGGCATCCTTCAACCGCGGCTGTGCTGTGAATAATGGAAGTGGATTCATTTCCGATCACTCTAGCATATTATTCCCTCCTTTGAAGGATACTTCTGCCCTTGAACGATCAGTAAGAATGGCCGCGGCGGCAGTGGAGCAGGAAGAGAAAAACATGATTGTTAAAAGGTTCGTCATCCCTGCCACCGCCATAGCTCAACTCAAAGAAGAAATAACGATTTCCGGCTCAGTTCAACGCCCGTCTCGCACGGAGGCGTTAACGGCGTTAGTATGGGTTGCTGTGATAAACGCAACTCCTCACCAAACTGTCACGTTATCCTGCATGGTGAACTTGCGGGGCAGGATGGAGCCGCCGCTGCCGCCAAACTGTCTAGGGAGCTTGACCTACGGAGCCACCGTTAACTGCGAGGCGGCGAAAGACGGCACCGTCGTAACCGCCGTTCAATTGGTGCAGAGGATACGCGATTCTCTCCGAGCTGTGAACGACGGAGCGGCGAGGAAGGTATACGGCGAAGGCGGGTGGTTGCGTGCGGTGTTTGCCAGAGGTGATGAATTTGTGCGCAACAAAGATTGTTCAACGCTGTACACAAGCAGTCTGTGTAGAATGGCGTATTACGAAGTTGATTTTGGGTGGGGGAAGCCCAGACTGGTGGTCAATATGCTCAAGAATTCAATGATGCTTTTCTTAGACGCCGCCATTAATGGAGCTGTAGAAGTGTGGATGGGATTGCCTAAGCAAGTTATGCACACATTAACGCAAGACCACCACTTTCTTGCCTATGTTTCTGCGTTTCCTAAACCTAAGCTATGAATCAATTCACCAACACATGCACTACTCTCTTTAAAACAAATAATATTATATTTTTGAAAGTTTCAATTCTACAATACCCATAGAATGACTTACTATTTTATGCCCTATTGATCCACTCCTTAGAGGATGATATTCAGTGAGGATACATTCTTACACACCAACACCTCTAAAATTAAACTTTCAACATGTAATAAGCAATTGCAATTGATAGGTAGGGTGTCGAATTCTACTATTTCCGCTATTAATGCTGTTTAAAGTTACCAATTATGTCCCAAAATGGTCCTTTCATTATCACTCATTCTCAATTTTACATTTCCACTTTCAATTGCACCCAATGTGGCTTCTTGACTTTTAAAAACTATCCCAAATTGGTCCTCGGTTACTTTTCCCGTCAAATGTGGCTATTTTCGTCCATTCACCTCCTTAGCCTATTACAACTACTGTTTGGAGTAGAAATCGGAGTAAATGCCTAATTTTCACGCCGCAATAATTTACCACTCATCTTCTACTGTGAGTAAATGTAGAAATAAACAAAACATTTAAAAGAAAAGAAGATATTCCGACTAGGCCCACGTTCTGCAAAAAAAATTTGTCCAGAGGCGAGAAAGATCCATTTTTCCTGTCAGAGTCAGGTTGAATTATCGCATCTCTATTTGAAGTGTATTTCCTGATAAGTAACCTTGTACTCAATATCTAAAAAGAGTACCCTCAAATTTGTAATAATTATAAAAATATAACTATGAGTTTTTTTTCCTCTTATATTTTCTAACCTTTTGATCAACTCAGATAGAAAGATAAGATTATTACACAACAAACATAGATACAATTCCATCGCCATGCCACCCCATCACGTTTATCAAATAACTAGTTTTTTATTGCGCGATTGGGATAATGTCTAATGTTTTTTTTTTTTTTAAATAAGTATTTTAAAGTATATCAAGACAAGATTATATTGGAATTGTTC